TCCACATATCGTTCTTTAACGTGCGATTGAATCGCTCGACCACCGACGCTTTCATTACGGAATATGTGGAATAGAGATTGATGTTATGTTTTTTCACAAGTCCTTGCACGTCAGCATTCTAAAATTCCTTCCCCACATCGGTTTGCAAGTTTCTCGGACATCTCTTACTCTCTCGAATTATCTTAGCGATAGCTTCAGCCGTCTCGCTCCCACCCTTAGTCTTGAGCGATATGGCCCACGCATGCATGCTCAACACATCGATGACGGTGAGTATGTAGTGGTAGCCTCTGTTGAAACGTGATGTATGCACGCATATCGACGATGTCAGCTTGCCACAGGTCGTCGTAACCTCGAACTATAACGTGTCTTCGAGGGAAATTTTTTCTTGCTTGAGCATGTAGTTCTTTGACAAGTTGCCGTTTCTCGGAACTGACCTTTTTTTTACGCCCATTGGATTTTAACGATCTCATATTTCTATGGTGTGATTTTCGACTGATCAGTATGAGGAAATTACATCATTTATGTTTTAAACTGGTTTTAACCGGTTGTAGCTGTATGCAGTCGATACAGAGCCGTTCCTGAGCAGTTCCTGATCTGTTTGCAGCCGATATAGAATTGTTGTCGAGCAGTTTATTTCCAAGAGCTGTCATTCAACAGCGGTTTTGTGTCATCCGTTTGTCGACTACTATTGCTCACCAGTTTTTGACAGCTGTTTTTGACTTGTTCGCAACCGTTTCTGATCTGCTCATAGCTCTTTCTCACTCCGTGCATAGCCGTATGACAGCTGTCCGACACCCGTTCTTGAACCGTTCGTCGTTGTTTATTGTCATCCTATAGCCGTTCATAGCCATCCTTGCGATTCATCGTCGTCCAATAGTCGTTTTCTAACACCTTTGATTGCTATTCGTTAACCGTTTTTTTTAAATCTAGCGATATGAAGCTCGATTATCACAATGCGCAGCGTTTACACGTCTTTCTCCAACGCAATCATCCTCTCATCTGACTCTTTTTGTTGATTTCTCAACGTTTTTAACCCTGCGCATACGGACTGTAATTTCGCTGCTTCCGCCTACAGACTGGGTCGAAAACGCCCAGGCACTATTTTCACTGTGTTACATCGCTTTAAAAAATCTGAAAAAATTCATGAATACTCTTGAACATATCTAGAATGTGAATCAACAATGATTTAAGCGAAAAAGTTATTATATTTAACACTATAACTTGTTATTTGAAGGAAAACGATGGAAAAACGGATTTTTACTTAAATTTCAATAATTAAAAAATGCGTAGTAATTAAGAAAAGTTATCATGGATTCTGGTCATGGACACCCTACTGTTTAAGAAAAACCGGGCTGCGATCGTTTCTGCCGAAAAAAGTATAATTATTTCATCGCTTGAAAATGCACAATTTTGACGAGGGGAAAATCGAGGACTTTCATGAAAAATAAATCGACGATCTTTTTTTCGCAAAATTATATTATTTTTATTGATTTTTCCGACAACTCCTCATAATTAATCTCAGGAGGTCGCGCTCGAAGAAGTCTTCTTATATCCTCGGGACTTCTGTCCGTCACACAAAAATGTATTTTTTGTTATTTTCATTTTCTAAAATGTTTTTATTTATTTTTAATTTGTTGTTGTATTTTGAACGTATTTATATATATTTATATCCATATATTATATATTTATATCCATTTTTGAAAAAAAATTTACCTTTTTTTGGAGAAAAAAATTCTAAAAATTAAAATATTTATTTACATAACTTAGTGCACCGTTTGGAGGCTTTTGGCAGCAACAAAAATGGATGCGCTAAAATCACTTTTTACTAACGCGCCCTACAGACTGGGTCGTTTTCGCCGAGCGCTCAACTTCCTCCGGCTGTAGCTCAGAGACTAACTGACGAAAGACGGCTGGGCTTCGCCTGTAAGTCCCTACCGACACTAAGTTTTTTTAGGGAGGGGAGCCGACCCCCTCCCGTTCTTGGTTTTCCGGGAATTCTCGAATGAAATTTCGCTCGGGTCGTTTTCGTCCCAGTCCGTATGCGCAGGGTTAAGTTTATGATACTCGAGTTAATTTACAATAAAACCGGCTTCACGAAGCTCCTCGATGATAGACAGCATCTCGTTGTCATGCGCGTTGTGACCAGCTCGGTGCGAAGCTTCGAGCAATCGTAAGCGATCGACTAACTCATTGGGATCGTCCCAATGCACGTAATCGATCGCATTGTCGTTTAGCGTCATAGTGCTAGGTAATCCTTTTCCAGATTTCATTTTAGACCGCGCCTTCGTTCGGCAGTAACGGTGCGATTACATGTTTGTACTTGTATCCTCTGGTACCCAATATCTGACCATGCGCGCTATAATTGCGTCTATACGCATTTGTCGCCAGCAGTATGCTCCTGTACTTTTGCAGATCGTCTTCCGTGTATACTTCATCATCTGGAATTCTCTTGAAAATTAGTTCGTAGAGACCGAGTGTGCCTTTGTATCGCACACCATCGACAAGTATGTTATCATCGATGTCCACTTCGAAGTGTTTATCACCAAGCAACAGTTTATCCTTGCCAACATGAACACCGTACACGAAATCTATATCATTCTTTACACCACTCTTTTGGGAAGATGATCCGCGTAAGACAGCCTCGATATATTTTTTACTCAGCTGACCCAGGTACTGCAATGCTTTTTGACCCGTTTCCGTTTGTATCTCGCGTTCAGCGAATACAGCGAGCGATTCGCCTGTGTTTTCGAAAACATCTTCGAGTTTGAAAGGTTTGTCGATCGGTGTCGCCGCCGCCGCAGCCTCCGCCTCCATCGTTGCTGGATGTATAGCACGTGGCGTAGATGTTATCAACGGTGCTCCCGGTGTAGACAATGCATCGTATAATTTATACTGTTTTGATTCGAAGGAATCAATTAACGAACTATTCACTCGTTTTCTATCCTTTGTCTTTCTCCGTATAGGATCCTTCTCATGCTTGTAGTCGTATGTCGATTCAATCGCTTCCGGTTCGTCTTTAATCGTACGCATCCCGCTGGAGTTGTCAACGATTTTTTGCAACGGCTCAATGATTGGCTTAAAATGAGTCTTCACAGCAATATCGTCCTCGATGTTAACGGTCTTCAAAGCGCGATATTTCTTGCGAATTGATTCACTCTTTTTTTAATCTCTCTAGCAATCTTTTCACGCTTGTTAATATCATCGCTCCCAGCCATGCTGACAGCTCGCTTTTTACCTCAACGGAATACAGGCAACGACTAACCGTTTTGCGGTATAGCAAACACGTTAAATCCCTTTCTGTATCGTCCGTTTGTGAGCGCGCTGTCCTTGTCTATCACTACGAACCCCTATTTGTCTCGCCAACAACTGCTACACAATGCGCAGAAATCATCGTATGACATGTAGGGATGTTCGATTCATCCCGGAAGAATCGATTCTTGAATCGATCTTGAATCGGTTCTTCGAAAATCGATTCACTTAAAAAATCGAAGCTAAAGAATCGATCTAGCTTGAATCGATCTAAAAAAAAAGTTCTTAAAATTTAATATTATTCTAAATTTGTAATGTAATTATATTCAACATCACATTTTTTGTAATAAAATTAATAGAACACAATTTTCATAAAAAAGTATCTTATTTTCCAGTTTTACAAATAAACCAGTTTTACAGAGATTTAAAAAAGGTTATCCTATTTCGCAGTTTTATAAATTATGGATTCTTTACGATTCAGTCTTTCAACTGCCATTCTTCGGCTGTCAAGGAATTTAAAAATAATAATTGCTGTAGGTGATCTGGAGAAAGTCGGTTTCTGTCCTCAGTTAAAATATTACCAGCTCGTGAAAATAATCTCTCGGAAGGTACCGACGTTGCAACCACGGGCAAGTACTTTTTTGCAACTTCGCTAAGCGTTGGGTACATCATTTTGTACTGCTTAGACCAATAAAACATTGGATTTTCTTCTAACTGTGCCAGTGGTTGATTTAAATAATGCCTTAGATTGGTTGGCATTTCGTTTTGGTTTCTTTCTTCGTCATTTGCAATTTGTCCTTTAACAAGGTCTTTGTGATACATCCATAAATTATTCGACGTCTCAAGTTTCTCAACGTTGGGTTCAGTTATTATTGCGTTATCGTTAGAAGTATTCGTTCGGTCAATTTCTCTCATACATTTAGCAATGAAATTGACTGATTGCGCACATGCTACACGTTCGTTCTGCTGAAAATGCAGTCGATTAAATCGAGGATCCAGTATTGTCGAAACCGCAATAATACGATTGTTTGTTATGTGTCCAAATCTTTTCACGATTTGCTTCTGGAGGCGATCTATTAAAGTTCGTGCGGTTAACGTCTGCAGGCGCATGCAAAGCGATTCAATTTCCTTTTTCAGGCAGTAGATCATTGGAATCATTTTGCTGATTGTGACATACTTTTCTCCACACAGTTCTTTCGTCATTTGTTCAATTGGTCGCAAGACTTCTAGAACTTCTTTCGCGAGTAGCAGTTCAGCTGCCGTCAACATTGGAGGTGAGCTTGGCATTTTCAATAAAATTGATCCAACTGTATCTGCCAACATAATGAAGCGTTCCAACATATAGTAGATAGAATTCCAACGCGTATCAACACACTGTGTTAACTTGAGGGCGCTGATTTTCCGTAACTCATTGGCAGCAATTGAGGACTGTTTAAAAAAGGTTACAATTGTTTTTATCTTCGTCACCAAAACTGTTGCATCATCAAAATCCATGGTGTGTGTAGCAACCAAATTTAACGTGTGAGCAAAGCACGGAAGATGTTTATTAGATCCCAATGTATCGTGAACTGCCTTCACAATGTTTGATCCATTGTCTGTCACCATTACAACAACATTGTCTTTATCGATGTTCCAATCATCCATTATATTTTCTATCCACCTCCCTAAAACCTCAGCTGTGTGTCGTTCCGTTACTTCAGTTACACCTATCGTTGTGGATCGCAGTTCGTCTTCAAACGCATAATGTGCTGTCATTTCTAAATAACTCACGGTGTTGAGTACATCGGTCCATAGGTCAGATGTGAGCGAAATATGCTGGGTGGTATTTAGCCTATCTTTTGTAACTGATGATAGGTAGTTGTATTTTTCTTCCATATATTTAGTAATAGATTTTCTTCCAGGAACATTGTACAAAGGAACAGTAGTCTTAATAAGGTATTTGAAACCTTCTTTTTTCACAGTATTAAAGGGCATATTATCTTTGGCGAGCATGAAAAGTATGGCGTTGGTTATTTCCCCAGCTTTTGATCCTCCTGCCGAAAAAAACATTACTTTTTAAATATGCAATGCAAATAGTCTTATTAATGTTAAAGTTTTATAAGAAAAAAAAGACAAATCTTGAAAAAAAATTACTTTCAAGAATCGTAATATTATTAACCGTGGTATTATTTAATAAAGAAACGATTGTTACTCATGAAAAAATTTAAGACAAATATTGGTTATTTAATCAATTCCATTTCTACTCAAACTTTTTTTCATATTATCTCCTACCAAATTTTTAAAACTTAAGAGAATTTTCAGTTTCGATATACTAAATATTGTTTCTTGATGTTTTAAAAGACGATACGCTATAAGATGCTTTCTTTATAAAAAAACTATACATATAAAGGACTCATTTTATATACAAATTAGAAATATTTTTAGTTATATTACCTTCAAACGATTTCATTTGCTTGAAAGTGTTATCAATTCTTGGCTGCAAACGAGACGTTTTATTCGAAGATAATCTTCCAGACAGTTCTGACTCTATTGAATTCATTGAAGCTGTTGGTGAAGAAACATTAGACCTAGAGGTCATCGAATCTAATTCCATGACTGTCGATGCCGGTGACGGTATTGATAATATCAATGCTGACGACGGCATTGCGGGCATTGATGATATCGACGTCGGCGTTCTTGAGGTTGAGCACGCAGTTTGATTATCATCTGTAGAATTCTAACAAAAAGAAAAAGATTACAAAAATGTACGACAAAATAATTAATGAATATATATATATATATATGTATATATAATATTCATTCAAGAATTCAATGATAGAGTCAGAACTGTCTGGAAAATTACGAGTATCTTCGAATAAAACGTCTCGTTTGCAGCCAAGGATTGATTACACTTTCAAGCAAATGAAATCGTTTGAAGGTAATATAACTAAAAATATTTCTAATTTGTATATAAAATGAGTATATATAATTTGTATATAAATGAATATATATATATTTTATTTATTTATTCAAAAGCATTGACTTACCACTAATTTATTTGTCCGTTGCATGTTGACAGTTTCAGCATTTTCAGCAGTCAGTTTCGCATCTTTTATAAACATTTGTTTTATATCAGGATTGCCTGGATGCTTTCGCACCAAATGGTTTTTTAAATTGGTAGTGTTTCCACCGGATCCACCAGATTTTACGTCAGTAGAGCAAATTTTGCAAGTGCCACCAGTTGAATTTTTTATAAAAAAATGCCATACAGGGCTTCCTTTTTTAAATGCAGGTACCACTAGAAAAAAAATAAAACCTATTTTTATCTTTCTATAAAATTTCTGCAAATACAGAAATAAGAAATTGGAAAAAGTTTAGGTTAGTTCAACTAATTTTAGAAGTGAGATTATGACCGACGTTAATAAAATTAGTCCAGTAATTGAAAAGTGTACCTACTCTTTTCTATTCTTTCTCTCTCGTTTAATAAAAGCCAATACCAAAAGCCTAGTTCCACTTCTCAATACTAATTAACATTAGAGATTTTTATTGGCAAGCAGGTAACATGCTATGGAGAGGAAAAATGGATAAAAGTGCATGATATGAAATATGAAAGTACCATCACCAATGCATATCAAATGCAATATTTATACAGTTCAGACTTATAATTCTATACGTACCTAATAATTGCAGAAAGAGGACTAATAGCGTTTTCGACTGACTGGAACTGACATGGGTTTTAGCGCTCCCGGAGCGATTAACCCTGGTCCAGTCGAAAACGCTATAAGGGCCAGTTTCACAAACGTTGGTTAACTGTTAACCAGAGTTCAGTCAACGCCCTATCTTTTTCTATCTTGTTCTCTAAGAAGAGACCGAGGATCAGTTAACCTTCGGTTAGCAGTTAACCGACGTTTGTGAAACTGGCCCTAAGAGAAGTCCGATGATTATCTTTTTCATTGCAGTACTCCCGCATCGCGGGCAATGTCCAACGAGCGCGTTGTAACCGTCCGCACCGTATGATCGCACTCGCAACCTCGCCGTTCTCCTTCTTCGTGGTCGTCGCGTCGTCGCGGGCAACCAGCAAACCCGGCAATGTCCAACGAGCGCGTTGTAACCGTCCGCACTGTATGATCGCACTCGCAACCTCGCCGTTCTCCTCCTTCGTGGTCGTCGCGTCGTCGCGGGCAACCGGCAAACCCGGCAATGT